AGCGGTACTCATGCACTCTACCAGGGTCAGCGGTACTCATGCACGCCACCAGGGTCAGCAGTACTCATGCACGCCACCAGGGTCAGCAGTACTCATGCACGCCACCAGGGTCAGCAGTACTCATGCACGCCACCAGGGTCAGCAGTACTCATGCACGCCACCAGGGTCAGCGGTACTCGTGCACTCCACCAGGGTCAGCAGTACTCATGTACTCCATCAGGGTCAGCGGTACTCATGCACTCCACCAGGGTCACCAGTATTCATGTACTCCACCAGGGTGAGCGGTACTCAGGCACTCCACCAGGGTCAGCAGTGCTCATGCACTCCACCAGGGTCAGCAGTGCTCATGTAATCCTCCAGGGTCAGCAGTACTCATGCACTCCACCATTGTCAGCAGTACTCGTGCATTCCACCATTGTCAGCGGTACTCATGCACTCCACCAGGGTCAGCAGTGCTCATGCACTCCACCAGGGTCAGCAGTGCTCATGCACTCCACCAGGGTCAGCAGTGTTGATGTACTCCACCAGGGTCAGCAGTGCTCATGCACTCCACCAGGGTCAGCAGTGCTCATGCACTCCACCAGGGTCAGCAGTGTTTATGTACTCCACCAGGGTCAGCGGTACTCATGCACTCCACCACGGTCAGCAGTGTTCATGTACTTAAACCAGGGTCAGCAGTGTTCATGCACTCCACCAGGGTCAGCAGTGTTCATGTACTCCACCAGGGTCAGCAGTGCTCATGCACTCCTCCAGGGTCAGCAGTGTTCATGTACTCCACCAGGTTCAGCGGTACTCATGCACTCCACCAGGGTCAGCAGTGTTCATGTACTCTACCAGGGTCAGCAGTGTTCATGCACTCCACCAGGGTCAGCAGTGTTCATGCACTCCACCAGGGTCAGCAGTGTTCATGTACTCCACCAGGGTCAGCGGTACTCATGTACTCCACCAGGGTCAGCAGTGTTCATGTACTCCACCAGGGTCAGCAGTGTTCATGCACTCCACCAGGGTCAGCAGTGTTCATGTACTCCACCAGGGTCAGCGGTACTCATGTACTCCACCAGGGTCAGCAGTGTTCATGTACTCCACCAGGGTCAGCAGTGTTCATGCACTCCACCAGGGTCAGCAGTGTTCATGCACTCCACCAGGGTCAGCAGTGTTCATGCACTCCACCAGGGTCAGCAGTGTTCATGCACTCCACCAGGGTCAGCAGTGCTCATGCACTCCACCAGGGTCAGCAGTTTTCATGCACTCCACCAGGGTCAGCGGTACTCATGCACTCCACCAGGGTCAGCAGTGTTAATGCACTCCACCAGGGTCAGCAGTGTTCATGTACTCCACCAGGGTCAGCAGTGTTCATGTACTCCACCAGGGTCAGCAGTGGTCATGCACTCCACCAGGGTCAGCAGTGGTCATGCACTCCACCAGGGTCAGCAGTGTTCATGCACTCCACCAGGGTCAGCAGTGTTTATGTACTCCACCGGGTCAGCGGTACTCATGCACTCCACCAGGGTCAGCAGTGTTCATGCACTCCACCAGGGTCAGCAGTGTTCATGTACTCCACCAGGGTCAGCAGTGTTCATGTACTCCACCAAGGTCAGCAGTGTTCATGCACTCCACCAGGGTCACCAGTGTTCATGTACTCCACCAGGGTCAGCGGTACTCATGCACTCCACCAGGGTCAGCAGTGTTCATGTACTCCACCAGGGTCAGCAGTGCTCATGCACTCCACCAGGGTCAGCAGTGTTCTTGCACTCCACCAGGGTCAGCAGTGTTCATGTACTCCACCAGGGTCAGCAGTGTTCATGCACTCCACCAGGGTCACCAGTGTTCTTGCACTCCACCACGGTCAGCAGTGTTCATGCACTCCACCAGGGTCAGCAGTGTTCATGTACTCCACCAGGGTCAGCGGTACTCATGCACTCCACCAAGGTCAGCAGTGTTCATGCACTCCACCAGGGTCAGCAGTGTTCATGTACTCCACCAGGGTCAGCAGTACTCATGCACTCCACCAGGGTCAGCAGTGTTCATGTACTCCACCAGGGTCAGCGGTACTCATGCACTCCACCAGGGTCAGCAGTGTTCATGTACTCCAGGGTCAGCAGTGTTCATGTACTCCACCAGGGTCAGCAGTGTTCATGTACTCCACCAGGGTCAGCAGTGTTCATGTACTCCACGAGGGTCAGCAGTGTTCATGCACTCCACCAGGGTCAGCAGTGTTCATGTACTCCACCAGGGTCAGCAGTGTTCATGCACTCCACCAGGGTCAGCAGTGTTCATGCACTTCACCAGGGTCAGCAGTGTTCATGCACTCCACCAGGGTCAGCAGTGCTCATGCACTCCACCAAGGTCAGCAGTGTTCATGTACTCCACCAGGGTCAGCGGTACTCATGCACTCCACCAGGGTCAGCAGTGTTCATGCACTCCACCAGGGTCAGCAGTGTTCATGTACTCCACCAGGGTCAGCAGTGTTCATGTACTCCACCAGGGTCAGCGGTACTCATGCACTCCACCAGGGTCAGCGGTACTCATGCACTCCACCAGGGTCAGCAGTGTTCATGCACTCCACCAGGGTCAGCAGTGTTCATGCACTCCACCAGGGTCAGCAGTGCTCATGCACTCCACCAGGGTCAGCGGTACTCATGCACTCCACCAAGGTCAGCAGTGTTCATGTACTCCACCAGGGTCAGCGCCACTCATGCACTCCACCAAGGTCAGCAGTGTTCATGTACTCCACCAGGGTCAGCAGTGCTCATGTACTCCACCAGGGTCAGCAGTGTTCATGCACTCCACCAGGGTCAGCAGTGTTCATGTACTCCACCAGGGTCAGCAGTGCTCATGTACTCCACCAGGGTCAGCAGTGTTCATGCACTCCACCAGGGTCAGCAGTGTTCATGTACTCCACCAGGGTCAGCGGTACTCATGTACTCCACCAGGGTCAGCAGTGTTCATGTACTCCGCCAGGGTCAGCGGTACTCATGTACTCCACCAGGGTCAGCAGTACTCATGTACTCCACCAGGGTCAGCGGTACTCATGCACTCCACCAGGGTCAGCGGTACTCATGCACTCCACCAGGGTCAGCAGTGTTCATGTACTCCACCAGGGTCAGCAGTGTTCATGTACTCCACCAGGGTCAGCGGTACTCATGTACTCCACCAGGGTCAGCAGTGTTCATGTACTCCACCAGGGTCAGCGGTACTCATGCACTCCACCAGGGTCAGCAGTGTTCATGTACTCCACCTGGGTCAGCAGTGTTCATGTACTCCACCTGGGTCAGCAGTGTTCATGTACTCCACCTGGGTCAGCAGTGTTCATGTACTCCACCTGGGTCAGCAGTGTTCATGTACTCCACCCTAGTCCCTGGCTGATGAAGAGACATATTCACTGAGAGTTACAAGAAGTCATTATCACTTGCCTTAAATATTCTATGGAGTCATCCTGGACATTGCAGTCATTCAACAGTAGTTTTAAAGCACCAAGTCATTCCCACTTCACAAAGGTGGCAGCAAAGCAATTGCAAGAAATAAAATAAAATAAAATCTTTAAACTTTCACTGTCCCACATTATCAAAAAAATTTTGAAAGGATTTTACAAATCAGGATTGCAAGACACAGGGAATTTCAACAATTGCACAACCCAGGTCACCATGGGCTCAAAACAGGTCACTCCTGCCTCTCGCAATTGCCAGACCATTGTAACATGGTCTTGTATACACTGGAAGATAAGCTTCATGCAGATGTAGTATAAACTCACTTTGTAAAATCCTTTGACAAGTGTGACCATAAAGTAATTGCACACACACTGTATGGTATAGAAATAACTGGGAAGGTTGGCAGTTGAATGTTTACCTACCTAACTGAATCCAAAGAGTAACAGTAAACAGAGTAAACGTAGTGACTGCTGCAGTGAAAAGTTTTGATCCCCTAGGTAGGGTACTCGCCCCACTTCTCTTTTTCATCGTTATATCTGACAAACATAAATCATTGCACTGTATTATCCACAGCTCGTATAAGCTCAAACACCAAAATTACTGGGAGCGCTCGATGTCCTTTGAACTGTACTCTTTAGAGCGTAGGCGAGAGAAAAATATACAATGTACACCTGTAAGATAACGAGGGGGTTGTTCCCAAACCTACACACCAACAATCTGATCGATGTGGTGAGCATCCGGAAAGTCTTGTCTGAGACCGGGCCGCGGGGGCGGTAACCTCTGGAAGTGACTATAGGTAACCCTCAGGTAACTTCCTCTCCTCATCTCAACGGGCAGTGGTGTGATGCCCAGTATTCTCATCACTGTTGCCATTGTGGTGCAACTGTCTTATTGTGACTTACCGGTTTAAGAATATGACTACGTTAGTGGTTGCCCGCATCACTCCTAATGGTAACACTGGCTACCCACCTCACTCCTAATGGTAACACTGGGTTCCCACCTCACAGCTCATGGTAACGCTGGCTACCCACCTCACAGCTCATGGTAACGCTGGCTACCCACCTCACAGCTCATGGTAACGCTGGCTACCCACCTCACAACTCATGGTAACGCTGGCTACCCACCTCACAACTCATGGTAACGCTGGCAACCCACCTCACAACTCATGGTAACGCTGGCAACCCACCTCACAACTCATGGTAACGCTGGCTACCCACCTCACAACTCATGGCAACACTGGCTACCCACCTCACAGCTCATGGTAACGCTGGCTACCCACCTCACAGCTCATGGTAACGCTGGCTACCCACTTCACAACTCATGGTAACGCTGGCTACCCACTTCACAACTCATGGTAACGCTGGCTACCCACCTCACAACTCATGGTAACACTGGCTACCCACCTCACAACATTCTTGTTTCTTGCCTGTCTCGTAAACCAGTCATAATGGCGGCCAGGGAAGAGTTGTCGCGAGGGGAGCGGGGGACATCTTGTCTCCCCTCAACCCCCCACATACCCTCGTCTCTGTGAGAGTCGAATGCCCTCGCCAGAACCCGCTCAGACACCCCCGGGCAAGGTTGCTGCTGCAACAGCCATCCTGCAGCAGCAACAGTAGCAGCTTCTATTTAATAAGAGTTGAAACCAGATTCAATCACGAGGTCATCCTTCAGAAGACTTCCATGTTGCTTGAGCTCTGTGATTTAAACAAATCGCAGTTATTGCATCAAAGACTGTACAAATTAGTTGTGGTGCCAGTGAGCTGTAGATTCGATGCGATGTTGTTAGTAGGTTGTAAAACCAGTGTTTGAGGAGTGGCACCGTGTGCCCAGGTGACTGCTTCAGACCACTGAAGAGGCATCACAGATGGCCCTGCAGGCGTTCCCGTTGATGCTGGTGTGAGGTCCGTACAGCTGGTAACCTTCAGTGAGGGTCGTCAGCAAGCAGAACCACCAGTAAGCCTCCAGTATTACTCTCTGTATTCGAGGTAAGATGATTAGGACACGTGTGCAACAGTTGGGTATCTTTATTGTTGTAGGTAAATGGTTCAGAAAACCTACAAGTTGATAAATTAAATACTTGGGCATCTTTATTGTGGAAACGTTTCTCTACAGTGGCTTCATCGGTATAGTACAAAGATGAATAGTAAAGATCAGAAGGAGATTGAGGTAATCAGTCCCTCAGCCTGGAGTTGATGTAATCAATCCATCAGTCTTATCAAGATCGACTCCAGGCTGAGGGACTGATTACCTCAACTTCTGATCTTCACTATTCTTTGTATTGGACTGACGAAGCCACTGTGTGGCGAAACGTTTCCACAGTAAAGATACCCAAGTGTTGCCCATGTGTGTAATTTATCATCCTTATTATTGAAACGTTCGCCTACGCGGTAAGCTTCTTCAGTCTAATACGGAGGAGAATGTATTGTAGGGAGCAGTAGTGCTAGTGAGATAATGATGATGTAATCAGCCTTAGCCACCACCTTGTCGGAATATTATACCATTTTCAATATATCCGAGGTAAGTTAGACTTGAGGCTCATTTTATGGGGAACTAGACACATGTGCAACACCTAGGTGTCTTTGAGGTAAAGCTCCCCAGGTGTTGCATGTGTCTAATACCTTGTCTAATGTTTGATATTTTATTTTTTAATTACGATAACAGTCTGGTTGACATGACCATCCAGAAGAATTTACAGGTTAGAGTTACCTTACCTCAGCATATTTCAAAGCAAAAATAGTAGTAGTATTCACTAGGTATCAGAGGAAAGTTTACCGTAATTAAGACATCGGGCTAATTAATAGCGACCATCCAGGAGGGCAGTACCTCCTTGGATGAAATGTCTCTGGATAGCTCATCCAGACAGGTACTATCTTCCTGGATGGCTCATCCAGGGAGGTACTATCTCGGGATGGTTCCTCAAGGGAGGTACTGTCTCCCTGAATAGTTCGTCCTAGGAGGTACTGTCTCAAGGTGGTTCATCTAGGGAGGCACTGTCTCTGGATTGTTAATCCAGGGAGGTACTATCTGGATGGGTCACCCAGGGAGGAACTATCTGGATAGTTTATGGTTCATATATGTCTGTATTAACAGGTGTTTCTGCTGCTAAATGGTAATTGTAGAGGAGGTGACGCATGTCCACCTAGAATCGATTTCTGAGCTCACTGACCCCGCGGGCCAGTGAGCAGACCTTTTGGTTGCTGGCCTGATAAACCAGGCTGTTGGTACCAGGCGCACTCGGTCCAACTTATATACCACAGCCAAGTTGATCAGGAACTAACTTAAGGAATTTAAGTTCCCTCTTGAAGACAACCAGGGATTTGTTGGCAATTCCCCTTATGTACAGTGGGAGTGTAATGAGGAGTCTTGGTCCCCTTATACTTATTGAGTTCTCTTAGTGTACCCGTCTCGCTCCTGCTTTTCTTTGGGGATATTTTTCACCGTCTGTCACGCCTCTTGTTTCGTATGGAGTGATTTCAGTGTGCAAATTTGGAATGAATCACTAGAATAATCCAGGTGTGATTATGGTACGTCTTTCTCTCCTGCGTTCCAGGGAGTCCATTTCAAGTGACTTTAAGCATTACAAGTGGTTTAGATGCTTGACTAAATGAAGATTCTCCGGAGGTTTTCCAGTCTAGAGAAAAATGAGAGAATTGAAGAGTATCATTGACTCGGCATCTCTTTGCTTTAAATGTTCAAGTTATCAGTGTTGTCGCTATCATTTTCCTGGTCGTTACAATAATAACGTTGTGATCCTTGAATGTGAGATCTTCCGACATTGTTACTCCCAAGTCCCTCATTGAATTTCTGCTCTGTAGGATGATTTCCCCTCAAGGGAGGTTACCTGATGCTGGTGAGGGGCTCTTGATCTAGGGAATTGGATCTGTGCTTCAGTTTCCTGAATTGAGCCTGAATGCCTTCCAACGCCCCCTCACAAGCGCTGTATAATCGCTACGGGTTTAGCGCTCCCCATGATAATAATGTAGAATGATTTGAATTTGTCTTGTACCCCGTCCCAGTTTTTAATTCCTTATTTTCCCCATAGAGTTACTGTAATTTGTCCTCGTTAACCACCAAGTGGCTCACTGAAAGACTTGGTTTGATAAACGAGACACGTGCAACATTTATATCTTTATTCTGGAAACGTTTCGCCATGCAGTGGCTTCTTCAGTCCAGTGCAGAGAAAGGTGGAAGATGAGTTTAAGGTAATCAGTCCCTTAGCCTGGAGTCGATGTGTTGAGTCCATCGACTCCAGGTTGAGGGATTAATTTGTTCAAACTCATCTTCCACCTCTCTGTATTGGACTGAAGAAGCCACTTCCTGACGAAACGTTTCCAGAATAAAGATACCCAAAATGTTGCACAAGTGTCTCGTTTAGCAACTTGTCACTTTTATAAACCATGTATTCACAAGACTTGGCTTGTATCAGCTTGACTTGAGAGTCTGGTCCCAAATCTGCACACTGTCATAACATACTGAAGTGAGAGATATACGATAAAGTGTAAGCTGAACCTAGTAAAACGCAGGGGAGTGGTGTAAACATCAGTGTTCCCAGAGTTTTAAACGTCTTGCCAAACTCTATTAGAAACACTGCTGGGACAAATGTAGAAATCTTTAAGAGAAAACTCGACAAGGATCTCCAGCAAGAGCCGGATCAACTAGGTTGTGATGCATATGTGGACCAGCGGGCCGCCAGCAGCATCAACTTGGTTGACCAGGCAAGCACCAGACAAGCCGGGCTGCGAGAGTAGGAAAACTCTCGAAACCCAATGAAGGTGAAGGTAGGATTCGCTGCGTTCTCAATGAACGCTGCTCACATACGGACGGTATATAATGGTGCTGTAATTGTGTCGGTAGTACACCATTTCCGGTTCTTAAGTTATCTGAAGTTGCTTGTTGAATAACCTGACAGATGGGTTTGAAGCCGGCATGATTGGTCCTCTCTAGCTAACATGCCAGGTCCTCACTAGATAGCCTGACTGGTCCTCCCTAGATAGCATGTTTACCAGACTATTTTTATGTCAGTGGTTACGTAGTGGAAGGAAGTATAGCTCAGCCTCTGTAGTCTGGCCCACGACGTGCAAAAAGTTGTGTCTGTATGTGTGCAGCTGTAAATAGAATAGTTGCTCGGTCAATTCCTGGCGGCCTCTTCCTCCAGGCTCTACCATCGGCCTCATTGCGTCTCCCTGTTGCTGTTACTTCACAGTCGCTATTTCCATTCTAATACTCTACTATCACCATCCATGCCATCACCACTGATACCCTGCCATCATCATCACCACCACAAGACTCCTTCCAAACAGGTTGGGAAAGTCCTGCGAGTCTACTCGTGCTTATAACCTCTTACCAGACAACGCTCATAAGCAGAAGGATGTACATGATAGACGTACAGAATACTCCTTGGCTTTCATAAAACAGACAGTTATTGACTAGAAGAAAGGAAATAAGGGATAAGGGGGTTATAGATGAACTTGGTTTTGTTGTGGTTTACAGGGACACTGACAGCTTTCGCCGTATGTTCTTGTTTATAAGGCTACCGGCAACTTGCACCATATCTGTATCAACCAGCCTTGTTATCCTGTAGATGGACGCTATAGAGGCAAGCGAGTCGCAGCTTCATCACGAAGTACTACTTCAGTCGGAGAATGGTCGGAAAATAACTGGATAGATAAGGAAGAGGTGGAACCAGATTTGAAACATAGTTTTAAGAGTATTATAGAGCAGCAACCATAAGTCTAGGAATTTGAAAGTGGAAATGGAAATAAGTCACTTTTGACTTTTTTTTTTTTTGGGGGGGGGGTTATCCTAGATAATTTACACTATGATAATTATGCTTGTGTACCTGTGCCTAAATAAACTCACTTATTCTTGAGGTATTCTGACACTGACTGGGAAGGCCAGGAGCCAAAGACTCGAACCACAGGACCCGAATTAAGTGAGAACACACACAGGTTGAAATTTAATGAAAATGCTGAACGACATCGATGAATGAAAATGTTGAGAAATATCTATTTTTTATTTCTCATAAAATATTAGGATATTTTTACTCTTATTGACTGTGACAAAGTTGTGATCCTTCACCCACTGTCCTCGTGGAGTAGCATAGCCGTGATCCTTCACCCACTGTCCTCGTGGAGTAGCATAGCCGTGATCCTTCACCCACTGTCCTCGTGGAGTAGCATAGCCGTGATCCTTCGCCCACTGTCCTCGTGGAGTAGCACAGCCGTGATCCTTCACCCACTGTCCTCGTGGAGTAGCATAGCCGTGATCCTTCACCCACTGTCCTCGTGGAGTAGCACAGCCGTGATCCTTCACCCACTGTCCTCGTGGAGTAGCATAGCCGTGATCCTTCACCCACTGTCCTCGTGGAGTAGCACAGCCGTGATCCTTCACCCACTGTCCTCGTGGAGTAGCACAGCCGTGATCCTTCACCCACTGTCCTCGTGGAGTAGCACAGCCGTGATCCTTCACCCACTGTCCTCGTGGAGTAGCACAGCCGTGATCCTTCACCCACTGACCTCGTGGAGTAGCACAGCCGTGATCCTTCACCCACTGTCCTCGTGGAGTAGCACAGCCGTGATCCTTCACCCACTGTCCTCGTGGAGTAGCACAGCCGTGATCCTTCACCCACTGTCCTCGTGGAGTAGCATAGACTGATCCTTCACCCACTGTCCTCGTGGAGTAGCATAGACTGATCCTTCACCCACTGTCCTCGTGGAGTAGCATAGCCGTGATCCTTCACCCACTGTCCTCGTGGAGTAGCACAGCCGTGATCCTTCACCCACTGTCCTCGTGGAGTAGCATAGCCGTGATCCTTCACCCACTGTCCTCGTGGAGTAGCATAGCCGTGATCCTTCACCCACTGTCCTCGTAGAGTAGCATAGACTGATCATTCACCCACTGTCCTCGTGGAGTTGCATAGCCGTGATCCTTCACCCACTGTCCTCGTGGAGTAGCATAGACTGATCCTTCACCCACTGTCCTCGTG